GCACCCCAAGGTGCGCTTACCGGGAAGATTCTAGCCTCCATCCATCCTGGTGTCTCTGCTCCAGAGAGCAGAGCTGTTGGGTCTCTCCGGGAGCAGAGCAGAGTCTGACCTCACTTCCTCTTCCGCCCAGAATTCTATTCTGTTTACTCCTCCCATCTATGTTCCAAGCTATGAGGCCAAGCAGCTGGTTTATTATAACTTAACCAATGAAATCAACAGATTGATATATGACACTCCCACATCACTTCCCCTTTTTCTGTTTAAACAAAAAAAAAAAGGCTTTAACTTAACATCCAAAGCTCTAGAAATGACAGAGACATCTCGCTGCCTGGACAGTCACCCAAAGTTCCTCTGTACCGTTGGGGCATCCATCTTCGGCCTACAGGCCCATAGTTTCCAGCAGACATTTCCACAAAGCAGGAAATTTCAAAGGCAGTCACTATCTGCTTGTCCTGAAGAATGTCTTGCAGACTCTTTCATGAATCAGGAACCCCGAAAGATCATCTCACCTTTAGGCAAGTTCAGCAGTCCTCTCTCTGCGGGTTCTCTGTGTCCAGTTTATGCAATAGTCCAGGCAAGAGCAGTTTCTTGCCCAAATGGCTATCAAACTCCATAAGGATCCTCTTCGATGCCCATCTTCCTCTTGAAGTAGATTGGTGCTGCCAGGAGCAGAGTGTCTCATTGTCATGAAAAGTCCTAAGTTATTAAAACATTTAAAATGCCATATTCTATAATCTTTGAAAAATATGAAGAATGCCTATCTAAAATATATCTATGCACATCTAGAAAATCTTAACTAACATGACTACAAACTTAACTATTATTAATGATTATTCATTAACAATCTATATACATTACAAAATTAACCTTAAATTTAAATCACTAAAGCAAAATCCATATCAATGTAAATTATTCATACCTATATCATCTCCCCCTTTAAATGTAAAAGAACATTTATAAACAATATTTGGGAATATGGGCGCAGTTTTTTCTCTCCAAACTGCTTCCTGCTGAATGGGGGCGTCGTTAATTAGGTCTTTCATGGTATAACCTGTGTGCTAGTTTCATCTCAGTTGGCAGTTGAGCGAAGCAATTTTCTGAAGGTATTCACAGCAACCGTTCAGGAGGGCGTGGTCCATCATACCATATCGGAATAGAAGAAATGAACAGGGTCTCATCCTCTGTGAAAACAAAATAAGAAACTCCTTTCCAAAGTATCATGTCCTTAGATCCAAATTTCAAAGTCAAGGCATCAAAATCTCTACGATGGATTAGTTCAGCAGCATTTATAAACAAATATCTTTTAGCATCTGTTGCTCCTTCCTCAGCATTCAAACAATTCAAAGAGAGCATAATAGTATACAGTATCAAGATTCTCTGTGTATTTTCCATCTTTGTACGCTTTATTTTAACCTCTATTTCGTTTATTTTTACTTTTATTTTATATTCTCTGTATCTCTTTGACCTGGAATAACTCTGTAGACCAGGCTCTCCTTGAACTCTCAGAGATCCGCCTGTCTCTGCCTCCCAGGCATTGGGATTAAAGGTGTTTGCTACCACACCTTGAACTCACAGAGATCTGTTTGTCTCTGCCTTCTAGGCACTGGGATTAAAGGCGTGTGCTACCACACCTTGAAGTCACAGAGGTCAATCTCCCTCTGCCTCCCAAGTGTTGGGATTAAAGGCGTGTACTACCACACACAACTTCTCTTTTTCTTACTTTTTTTTTAAAACTTTTAACTTTTAGCTTGCATATATTTTTAACACACTGTAAATCATTTAAACATTTTCTTTATCTTTGAATCTCTTTACTGTATATCTCTCTTTTTCTGACCACACGAGCCTTTAAATTACTGAGCAATATGAGTAGGATTAAAGCCGTGGCTTTGCCAGCTAGATCCAGTCCATTCCTTAGCTTTCCAGCCTCATGGCGGAGATACAGGCTGTAGCCATGTTTATAGACACAATTCTATGGCGTTTCAAGGTCCCTGCCAGCCAGCGAGCTACAACAGACAACAGTCAAGTCCTCTCTCGGTAGTTGGCTCTCCTGCCTCAGTCAGAGTTTGCCCTGGCAGGACGGCCCAGAAAGCCGGCATTTTTAAACAGCACAGCTTTTTTCCTGCTACGGCTGAAAACCGAAAAGCATGCGTTCAGCTTTTCACCAACACCGTTTAAGTGTTTCGTGGCAGGACCTCTTAATGAGCTGCAGGGTTTTGCAGCTGAAGCTGAGTCAGGAAGCCTCTCTTAGATGAGAGCGCTTGCTTGCCTCTAGCAAGCAGAGTAGACCCAAGAAATTTCTGCTACCAAGAAAACATGCTTCACTCCATTCTTTCCCAAGCTTTCTCAGGCTTTTTGTGGATTCAGTTAGCCTCACGTCTGGGCGCCATCTGTTGAAATAGGAGCGGCGGGGCTGCGTCCCCAACACCCCGGCCGCTTGGCTAGCTCATGCCCGAAATAACAACACACAAACTGTATTCATTTAAAGAACTGCTTGGCCCATGAACTCTAGCCCTTACAGGCTAATTCTCGCACCTGGACTAGCCCATTTCTAATGATGTGTGTAAGCACCCCAAGGTGCGCTTACCGGGAAGATTCTAGCCTCCATCCATCCTGGTGTCTCTGCTCCAGAGAGCAGAGCTGTTGGGTCTCTCCGGGAGCAGAGCAGAGTCTGACCTCACTTCCTCTTCCGCCCAGAATTCTATTCTGTTTATTCCACCCACCTATGTTCTAAGCTATGAGGCCAAGCGGTTGGTTTATTATAATTAACCAATTACCTTCCTCCATCAGAATAAGGGTCCCAAATGGCAAGGTGTTGAGGGAGAGAACCAGGGATGAGAAACAGAGGATGGAGGAAGGTAATTGGTTAATTATAATAAACCAACTACCTTCCTCCATCAGAATAAGGGTCCCAAATGGCAAGGTGTTGAGGGAGAGAACCAGGGATGAGAAACAGAGGATCTAGGGGTCTCGCATAAGCTGATGACTTATGCCAAGCAAGTTTATTAAGAAGTAAAGCATCACATATACTATTTGCAGGGAGAAGCAGTCAAATATCAGAGAATTAAGTTAGACAAGCACCTAAGAACTGATAACCACAGGTTGGGGGCAGAGGGTAGGGAAGAAGTCACACACCGGTTCCAGTCCTGAACCAGTCTCGCCAAATCTGCTTCTGCATACAGCATAACAAAAGTTTCCTTTGCCGTTTCCTCAGGGTCCCAGAGAAAGTCTTGGGTCAGTCTGATTCCCCACACCCGAGAGAAACACTTAAAAAGAAAATGATTTATTTGGGCTCATCATGCAGGAGCATACTGTTCACCATGGCAATAATAGTGGAGGATTTCATGACTGAAGGAGTATGGTGACAATAATTCTTTGGAAAAACGTGTATTACTAATTTTAGTTTTCCTTTATGCTATGATTTCCTACTTCTGATTCTTTTCATCTTTTGCAATATGGAATGTCTATATTTTTATGAAGCACCATGCACATGGTGGGCAGAGTTAGAACAGACAAGAGATTCTCATATATGAGCTGAAATTTGTTAGAATGAGTTCTGAGGTCACAACATTTACTTTAAAAGTCCTGGCTAACTAATTATTTGCAGTCAGATTTTAAGAAATCATCCATTCTTCTGCTTGTTAATTTGATGTGGTTGGTAAGTTTACAATTTCTTTTCATTGGTATTGAAGTAAAGCAAAATAGAACAAAATGAAACCATCAGGGTAAGTGGATATGGGTGTTGCTTGATGGCTCTGGATTCACTCAGGGATCTCTTTTGATTTTCTGATTCAGCTTGTCACAAATATGGCAGGTACTAGGCATTCCTAACAGCAGTTTAAAAAGAGAAAGAACATGTGTACTCTGATGAGGAGTAATAATAATGACCAAATATAGAATATAAATAGATTCAGCAGAAAGCTATAACATAGTGGGGACCAGGGGGAATGGGTAAAAATCAAAGCATCTGATGTATTCATTTATTTAGACAAAGTTTTGCTGTGTAGCCAAGACTTTCCTACATTGCATGAGCCTCCTTAATCTGTCTTTTTAAAAATGTCATTTGCTAATTTTAATGTAGCTATTATGTCTGTACAGATTCCATCGCTTTCAGAGCCACTTCACTTTAATTGCAAATAATTTGTCATTACATGAAGTAAAAGGATTATAATTGCCTCAACTGCTTAGAACGAAAAATGTCAACTTCATTTTTGTCCCCAAACCAAAGATTTGTTTCATTTCCTCAGAGGTGATGCTTGCAATCAATAACCCAAAGGTAGTTCAATTATTGTCTACCTGATCATCTGTTCTATAATAATAAATCCCTGGGGTGGCTGTGTAATTACATGTAATGTGGTCACTACGGGTAGATCAGCAGACCCTATGTTTGAGGAGGAATGGGCAGCTGTGTAGAGTGGCTTCTCCATGAGATGTGGGATGGCAGCGCCGCTGGGAGATCAAGGAGGTCTCTCGCTGCATTCCCATCTCATGAGAAAGACCCATTGGAACCGGCTTTACTTGGTAAGGCTCCATGGGAGTTAGTGTCTCAGGAAAGAGCAAAGTTAGAGAAGAGGATAAGGAAGTTGAGGAGATGGGAAGGTTTTCTGTCTATGGGTCATGTTTATCAGAGGTTACAATCCAAGGTAGAGCGAAACAGGAAGAGGATACATATTTTAGTGTGAGGGCTCTTCTAGCTTGCTTACTGCCGCTGTGGTAAATACCATGATCAAAAGAAATCTGGGGAGAAAGGACTTATTTGGCTTCTACTTCCAGGTCCTAGTCCATCGCTGAAGCAGAAACCATGAAGGAACACTGATTGCTAACTTGCTCACCGGCTCATGTTCAGCTGCATTCCATCCATAGCCTAGACCCAACTGCCTAGGGAAGCTTTATCCCTCCTTCCAGTGCCCTAGGCCCACCCATGTCAATGACACTCTCTCACAGACATGGCCACAGGCCAATCTGATCTGGATAATTACTCAGCTAAAGCCCTCTTTTCCCAGGTGACTCAAGATTGTGGCAAGCTGAAAATCAAAACAACCGTACAGAGCTGATGAGCAGGTCGTCCTTGGTTGCTGAAGAAAGTGTGACCTTGAGTAGTTCCTGGTGCAAACGGACTGGAAGACACAGGGCCACTTTTATCAGCATTTGATTTATGCGGTTATATGGAATTCCAAGGTCAAGAGGGCTCCTGGCATTGGTTTAGTGCTTTTCTGTTGCCATCTTGACTTAAAACTTAGTACTGTTTTAACAAGATTTTTTCTATTTGTGTTTTCTTTTGAACCCTAGGATTCGTGTAGTTGGCTTTGGTAAGGGGTCAGGTGAATCATGGGTAGCAGGACAATTCTGTCTTCACACTGGCCAACACCTGGACTTTACTCGTTGTCTGTCTGCTTCCCCACAGCACCGATCAAACTTCATGGGTCAATTGGTCATACTGAGACTCAGCCAGATTTCCCTCCCACACACCTTCCAGGCGTGATATTGACAAATTCTGCTCAGGCTTCTTGTCTTGGCTTTGCCAGTAGTTGATAGGAAGAAAGAGACCACAGCAGTGTTGTGGAGGAAAAGGCTATTAAATAGGGAGCCTTTAAAAAGCTGCTCAGGTCATCTATGAATGGTGGAGGGAGGGACAGTAAGAGGGGCTGGGCAGATGGTGGAGTAGAGGTACGGGAAGGGCAACATAGGAGCGAGATAAGTATGAAAATATTTTGAAACTCATTACTTTGTATACTAACTGTAAAAAACAAATAAAAATTTCCTATATTTCTGATATCAGAGTATTATTATTTATTTCACCACTGAAAATAGGTTCTTCTCCAGTTTTATAGAATCTGGACACTTAACAATAATTAGGGTGCAAAAAGAAGAAATATTGCCATATATGTTCAAATTGCTCTTATAAGAGAACACATTTTATTTCTTTTTCTTAACATATTTTTCTCCAGACTGTTTAAGGGATAGGGACACGTTTTCTAACTCCTTTGTGCTTTAAGAGATGATTGTACCATTAGACACAGCTCATGGCTAGGTATATAATGTAATTATGGTAAGTTGCCAGGATTTGTTGCTACCAACTATTAATGCAAAGAGAAAGAACAATTGGTTACAGGAAAATCAATTCAGGGTTGACCATCTAGAAACTGATCTGATGATACTGAGTCACTTCTGTTTGAAAAGAAATTGTTTTTCTTTCTTTTATTTCTTTGTAACCTGTTGTGTCTATTGACGAATACATTCAGATATCAACAGCATTGATGTAATGTTGTGCTTAGTGTGTGAGGGGAAACAAACAAAAACCTAGACGTAGCAAAGCTAAGTTTCCATGCATTCAAAATGAGATCTTAATAAGCAAAACCTGCCAGGGAAATGACCCATTTATCTTGTTCATTCTTCACATTTTATCTTACTTAAGGAGGATGAAAATCAAATCTTTTTGCCTTCCGACACACAACACAGCCGGCGTCGCCCATGACAGTTATGTATGTGGAGAGGAAAATGTGTGGGGGCTTCTGAATGTCATAAACTCAGCCAAATACCAGAGCTCTCTGTACATTTAATCAGAGAGTAGATATGCTTAATAACTGAGCTAACGAAATAGTACACAAATGAGCCTACTATCAGCAGAGAGTGTGTGTCTGGGTCACTGCAATTTATTACCCGTGTACTCCGCTTGAGCTGTCAGCTGGCTCCTTCCATTTGTCATCTGAGCAGAAGGAAGGACAACCCCATGCGAGTCATTTCCCATGTCTTAGACAACAAAACCGAGACAGGGAGATTAAAGATATTGGTTTGGTGTTGTAAGTCATGGCCAGAGCCGAAGCAGCCCAAGAAATAAAGCACAGGCTAGTTTCCGCCCAAACTCATGTCTATTGTATTCTGGATCTGATATGTAGGGCTATAAAAATCTAATTGCGCAGTGAAAATGGACATGGAAGCAAGTTGTTAGCAGAAAGACATCTGGCTGTTTGGGACAAGGGGCATGCTCAGACACTACTATGGGGAGACTTGGTGTAGTGAAAGGAATCGTGTTGTATAGCCCCCTTGGCTAGGCTTTTCTCATTTGTCTTTCACCTTAGTTCTTGCATAGTTCTGATGCTTTAAGCTATGCCTTCACTCCTAGAATGATGCATGTATATGTGAGTGTATGCATGTGTATGGGTTTATGTATGTACATGTTCGGAAAGCCCCAAACTGGTGTGGTGGAACATTCCTTGCATCCCAGCACTTGGAGGCAGAGGCAGATGCATCTCTAAGTTCGAGGCCAGCCCTGGTCTCTGGAAAGAGTTACAGGATGGCAAGGGCTGCACAGAAAAACCTTGTCTCCAAACAAACAAACAACAACAAGAACAAAGGAAATAAAAGATCTCTACCTTCTGAATGGATCTAAGACACAAACTCTGGGCTTTTCCTATGTTTTTCAAAGGATACAGTGACATACTTTTTCCTACTTCCTTTTCTCCCTAAATATTAATGAAAAAAGAATATACACATGGAGTAAGGGAATGCTGACAAAGGGAATCAACTAGGACTTTAGGTAGTTGGCATGTAAAACATTGACTATAAAAAGTATTGCTTGTAGAAGGCATTCTTAAGAGCCTTACAAATGATTTCTTTGAGTAGACACGGAAGGGCTGGGAATGAATTGTCCATTCTGAGAATGATAAAGCGTGTGTCCGGTAGAACAGGGACATGAGTGGCTTTGGTGTGGTAGGGAATATAATAGGTAGTTATCTTCTACCTTCATCAGGCATCATTGAGAAAACTTCCAGAAAAGCATCCTCTAGTTGAGAGGACTGTAGACCCTGTCAACAAAATCTACGGAAGAAACTAAAAGGAATGCATAAATGATAAATTAGGCAAGAGTCATTACCACTCTGTGAAACACGGAGCCCTACTAGCTCCCCTGATCTGTGATATCCTCTGTGCTCATCGTCATCAAGGCAAAGAACTTGGCAGTTGTCCGGCCCAGGGCCAGCGCGGCCCATCAAATTTTATCTGTGTTCTCTCTGTAAGTAGAAAATTACCAAGCACAAATCCAACCGAATGCAGAGGCAATTAATGCGGAACATGCACAGCTAAATAAGCTATTTAAATGTATGGCTACAAATTCCCAGGTCTGCCCATTTGGAGGGGGACCAGCAGCAGCACCTCCAAGACAGATTTCGTTCGTGGCTGCTAAGCAGATATCTAAGGACAAAACTCCAGAGGGTCTGCCAGGAGCTGTTTGTGGGAGATCTTTGTGAAGACAGTGGTAGTGGCCTCCATAAATATTCTGGGTGGAGAGACAGAATTCTGGGTAGGTAAGTTTGGCCAGAGAAACACTACAGTGAACATGAGCATCACCTGAGCCTGGGGTCTTGATGCTTTGATTGCCTGGGTAGTTTCTGAAAGGTTCAATTGTCCTTCATCTTGAAAGTCATGAGAAGGGAAGATAGAGTGGACTCAGAAGTGCAATACTCCTCCTTTTCAAAACCTTTTAGTATCATTTTTTTCTGGTGCAGGACTCACATAGGGCTGTTCAACTCCAAACAAAAACTGGAGGTAGACTAGACCATCAGATTAACTAGTCTAGTTGAGATCACAGTTAGAATTGTTGTCTTGGAAATACACCTAGATAAACAGAGATGAAGCAAATCACATTGCTAGCTTCTTTTTTTTTTTTTTGTGAGGCCCATAAATTTTGATTCTTTTTTTCCAGACTAAGAACTTTCATTTGTTTACAGACATTGTCCTTCAGCTGTGGCCTTCTAGAGAATTCAATGTATTAAATATTGTTGAAAATATAGGAACTTTGTTGGTCTGCTGAAGCCAACTCTACTGCTTCCTGGCAATGTGCACAATTCATCAGGCATGCATTATGGGATTACTGTGAAATTATCATTAATATAAAAGAAGGAATTTTGAGTTGGGAATATCATACCACAATACATGATAAAGAGTCTGTCTCTGTCCTTCCCTATGTCCTACCAAATCAAAGTTAACAAAACAAAGACCTCTCTTCAGCTATCAAATGTTTTTAAAATGTAATCTATACAGAGATAAAATACAGTGGAAAGAGAGTTATGAGGTTTAATCACTAACACAACCTTGCAAACATCCTGCCCATCTTCCCTTGCCTCATTTGTGGCATTGAGTTTGAGAGAATTCTGGATAATAGGGCCTGGTTTCCATGCTGAACCCATCACTACCCAGTTGTAATGACTAAGGATGCACAATCTTGGTATTCAGATGCTCAGCTGTGACCAATAGCAAGTGTCTCTGTTCCTGAGTACTAGTAGGGAGTGCAATATCTTAGTCTGCATTTCAAACTCTTGAATTGGAATCTTGATGTGAACAAGACCCCAGGTGATGCACACACACACACACACACACACACACACACACACACACACACACACACAGACTTTTGCCGGCTGCAACTTAATAGCTCCTCTGTGTTGTACCCAGCACTTTTGTTAGCCCTATCAGCTTCCGTGTTCCTGTTGTGTTGCTTAGCTTGCTCGTTGTCTGCATCCCTTCACTAGTCCTTCTCTTTCTGCCATATGCATTTTGAGCTTGTGCTTCAAACAGACTGAGCTCATGGAAGAAAGTACTGCTGTGTGACTCTTTGATGCCATTCTGTTCGTGTCTACAGTACGCTATTCAAACCTTAGGCAACTACGCTGTCTCAGAAGTCCTCTTAGGACTTTTACACAGGAATAATTACTGGACTGATTCCTGTACACAGCTGTCACCCTCCTATACTTCTGAGCGTGGTTCTAGGACTTCCCCTGCCGTGAGGATACCAAAATGGTTGCCCCTCACATCTCTCAAATAAATGATGCCAGACTTTCATATAAATATGTTTGTCCTTCTGTTTACTTTGTATTATTTTTAGGCACCCTAGAATAACCAATACAGTGCAAATACTGCATAAATAGTGATTGTATATTGTTTAGGGGACACAGGTAAGGAGACCTAGCCTGTATTTTAGTACAGGTACACTTTTCTCTAAGTATCTTTAGTAGTTTATGACCTATTGACTGTGGACACAGAACCTGGGAATACGGAGGATTTATATTATCGAATTAAGTGAATTAAGTTGGTGTCTACACTTCAAAAATGGAGAGTCCAGTTCTGAATTCTACTTCAGCAGTCTTAGGCTTGTCAGAAAATGCTGCATGTGGCAGATGCATCCGATGCTCATCTTCGTTTCCCTCCACTGGAAGCTTCTTTGGCCTGAATACATCAGATACCTTGGTAATGTACAATATATTCATTCCAAATTGACTCAGGAACATAGATTTGCTGTGTTGAGCCCTTTCACGGGGCTAAGACTAATTACTATGTGAATCTCAGCTCAGAACTGATTCCAGTGTTCTAGTTTCAAGGACGGGCTTTCCCAGGCAATTATGCTCTGATTATATGGTAGCTGATTTTCCGTTTTCAAGGTCAGAATTAATAGAATAAACACAGTGCAAACAGAACATTGGTGTTTTAGAACTCTTTTTTTTTCCTGCTGAAAAAGAAAATAATTCTTTCTGGGGCTTGCTAAGCTAGATGTCTTTGTGTGGAGGAAAGTTCTCTCTTATTACCTGTCATTGCTGGAAACAGAAGTGCTGAGAGACTATAATCCACTTGGCTTCCATCAGACCTGAACCTATTAGCCTCGCAACAGCTCCCTTTTACTTGATGAATTCAGATTAA